TAGCAATGTTTCTTTGCAGACAATGAAATGTTGTTGTACGACCACAAACCTGTTACTAAATACGCAGAATCGGCCGAAAATGCACAATCCCACACCCATTTTTGATGTCCTTTCAAAACTTTGTCCAATTTAAACTCATAATTGGAAGCGGACCATATCTTGACAGTAGTGTCTGCAGAACAGGTAGCCAAGTGCCTAATAATAATGGGTTTGACACGCGCTTAATAAAATTTGAGCATCACGCAAAATCTCAATGTCATTCAAACTCACTTAAAATCAGGACTAAGGAGGCATCTCGTGATATATCTATTATGAGCCGAGAATTTTGTTACTGGTTGCAAGTCTGTAAAATCACGTGTATTGGACATCTTCCATACATAACAATTACCCTGTTGCGGAAGAACATGCAGTGAAAAGTTTAGAATGTAACATATAGACAAAGCAGGACACTACGGTAATCCAACCTTGTTATTAGCTGCAACCAGCATAGACCCATCGATTGCCACGGTCACAGATCGAAGGGGTACGTCTTCTTCTGGTATCTTTTAAGTTTAAAGTGTTGTTCTATATGAAGAGCACTTACATAAAATACAAAGACATTAACAATCTAATTGTTAACTACTTTACCAGGTTATGAGTGCAGGAGTTCTCTCCCAAGTCAAGGATTATTATACCACCCATTTGATCACATGAAATCAATTCTCCCTGATTTGGATGGATGGCCACATCGTTAACTGGAGCTTTATGGTCATAGTTCCTCTGTACCGATGGAGCTCTACAAAAACGGACGTTTCTACCTGCGTGAACAAGCATTTGAAGACACTATCTTTCGGTCCGCAAAGCCACTAGTCCGCTAGACACCTGATCATTTGTATATCATTGTTGTACCTTGTATCCCATATCTTCAATGTCCCATCCTCGCTGCCAGTTACCATCCATTTTCCCTCACAATGAAAGCCAACAGCAGTTACATTACCAGTATGACCATCAAATGAGGTGATCTAAACCATTTCAAGAAACAAAAGATTCAGAAAAATTTGAAACGCGAACACAATTCTTTTTTTTTATCTGATCAGAAGCTTACCGGGTTGGGATTTGTACTATTTATATCATACAATCGAATATGTTGATTTCCTGTATGAATACATTATCATTAATTGAGTTATAAAAGGTTAATCCGCAGAATTGCTAAATTATACCTGCTGCTGCTAAATATCTCTTATCTGGAGATATGCATAGACGATTAACTTGCTACCAGAAGTCAGAAAGCGTATTGTTGTCTTAGCATTCGCACATAAAAACCGTTATTCGAGTCCAATTAATTGTACATTCAGATCGACTCACAGAATCAGGATGCTGAATGGTCCTTGAACAAATTCCACTCAAAGCTTCCCAGAAACGAATAGTGTGATCGTAACCAGCAGTCACTAGAATAACCGAATGCGAGTCTTGCGTTGGCTGGTAATGCTGATCATAGTATTGTTGATTCTGGTAGTTACCGTGGTGTGGTCTTTGGTGGTGACTCCGCATGATTTATATACATGAATGGGAATTGATTGATTTTCTTGCCGGTCCTTATATATAAACTATGTAACACAACGTCATATCATGTGATTTAATGTTTAAAATCGTGATATCAGGTCAAAAAAAACTTTTTCTAATCCAAACGCGAACAGCCTAGATTACTAAGTAACAAGAAAGTCAGGAAAGTAAGCGGCTACTTTGTTAATTTCTATGCCGCCCACAGTATTAGTATTCTACGATACATTGGAACTAGTACTAGTTTCGAATGATTATGATGCTTGGGTATGGGAAGTAGTAGTAGGTGGTTATCTCTCAGCTTAGCACACAAAATTGGCAACCTCTTTCAAGAAATCCCAAACACTTTTTCTGTTACTTGTCGATTAGTATTATTTTCTTTCAGAATAACAAAATTATTATTATTATTGATATAAATATATTGATATTAATATTGATATTAATATGTCTTCTCCCCAAAAATTTATAAGTAATTGTTTCTTTAATATTATTTCTTGAGAAGTTTGGTGTCGCAATTATAATATTGATTCAAAAATATATAGAACAGTTTTCTTCTCAGACTATTTTAAAATACTAATACTGCATTACTAATAATGCTGTAATAGTAATTTTTTTGGTTTTATTACTATGGTAAATTTACATTTAATTTAAATAAAGCGTCTAGATAGAGGGATCCTGAATTTTATATATGAGACAGACTGCAACAAAACCAGACAAAGTGAACATCCTATTATGTGATATAAATGAGAGGCCGATTATGATGTGGCTGTAAAACTGACCAGTGTGACTGATGACGTTTTGAAAAGTGATAGCAGCGCTCATTCATAACTTATGGACTTGTTGACTTTAATGTTTACTTTATTATACCAGAATGTAATGAATATAAACCATAACAGGATTAATATACTATATATATATACTGTATATGTATATAGGATTATGTCTACATATAAAGAATTAATATTCATATGAAACTAATTTACATTAAATCTACCATGGAACCAAAGAATTACAGCACTATTAAAAGCATTCTAAAAAACGCTCAAGGAGAAAAAATTGCTCCCTATGTTTTTAAAATCAATAATACCCAAACTCTCCAGGAATATCTAGATTAAGAAAAAATCACCTATGAAATTTACCAAGAACGAAAAATAATAAACAGTAATCAAACTTATGACAAACCAAGAAAAAAAACAAAAACTTGAAGAAAGGTGGCGTTCTCTTCCTCGAATTCGTTTTTTGTTTGTAGAAATTTTTCAACGTGGAGACTGCAATGTCTTTTCCTTCGCGTAGCTTGCGGATTTCGGTTACTATTTGATAAAATAAAAAATTCGAGTCCAATTCGAGCCTTTTGTCATAAGATTTTAAAGCTCTTCCACAAGTTTTCGATTTCTGATGGATAGTTACGTTGGTCAATTTGTCTGGTAGACTTAGGTTTTTTCTTCGGCTCCATTAATTCATAAAAAATAAACTCACATCCCCAAATTTCTCCGACGATTCTGCAATTCCATTGGTCCATATTTGTTCGAAAGCTTTTATTGGTTCTTCACATATAAGAATTTAATCCGGAGTAACGCCAGCCGCTCCATTCCTAATTTCATGACCAG